TCTCTCTCTCTCTCTCTCTCTCTCTCTCTCTGCATAAGTTTAATTGTCTGTGTTTTTAGGTCCGATACGCGCGAGTATGCGCTCAAACAGATCGAGGGCACCGGCATATCGATGTCCGCGTGCCGTGAAATAGCTGTAAGTGTTTATCTTATTAACGATGTGTTGACCGTTAAGACAATCGGATTAACCATTCGTTATTATATTGACAGTTATTACGGGAACTAAAACACGTGAATGTGATAAACCTTCAGCGGGTATTCCTGTCTCACTCGGACCGCAAAGTGTGGCTTCTATTCGATTACGCGGAACACGATCTCTGGGTATGTGTGCGGCCGCGCCGGTGGCGGCACTGGTAGTCACCGCCGCCGGTGTTCTGACCGGCATTGAATGGGTTATTCGGGTGTTAATATGGTTTTTTTTGTTACCTGAATGACACTTAAACTCTACTAACACTTACCCTGTTTTTTGGTGAACGTATTTGTACTAATTATTGTTATCTCTACCATATATTTAGCACATAATTAAGTTCCATAGAGGGGCCAAAGCCAACAAAAAGCAAGTGGTTGTGCCGAAAGGGATGGTCAAATCGCTGATATACCAAATACTGGACGGCATTCACTACCTGCACACCAATTGGGTTCTGCACAGAGATCTCGTAATTATATTGTTTCCATTATTTGCTATCTATTTGTTAATTACATTTCAGTTATAATTGAAAACAAATTGTGTTTATTTTGAATGGTTTAGAAACCGGCGAACATTCTGGTGATGGGCGAAGGGATAGAGAGGGGACGGGTGAAGATTGCCGACATGGGCTTCGCCCGGCTGTTCAACGCCCCACTCAAACCGTTGGCCGACTTGGACCCAGTGGTGGTCACCTTCTGGTACAGAGCGCCGGAACTATTGCTGGGCGCCCGTCACTACACCAAAGCGATCGACATTTGGGCCATCGGTTGCATATTCGCCGAACTGTTGACCTCAGAGCCCATATTCCACTGCCGACAGGAGGACATCAAGACCTCCAACCCCTACCATCACGACCAACTCGACCGCATATTCAATGTGATGGGCTTCCCATTGGACAAGGACTGGGAGGACATACGCAAAATGCCTGAACACCCGACCCTTTCCAAGGATTTTAAGCGCAATA